AAACACAGCAATTAATCATTTAGTTTATACGATAACGGACGGGGGAATTAAGACGTATTGTTTGTGGTTTTCCATGTCGTGAGCTGCGTGAGTGCTGTAAGGCGAAGAAAGTTTTAAAGGTGCGATTAGAGTTGTATAAATAGTAGGTTATCTAGAATAATAAAATTAAATTAGCTAAATATTTTAAAATAACAGCTTATGGGTATAAGTAATTATTATTCGAGGATGTTTCGGATCGAAAGCTCATGATTGATCGTTTTATTACGGAGACGGTGTAATTAACGCGCCGGTGCGCGCCGGTACTGACAGATTAATTGGTCGGAATTGCGAGAATATCGCGAATTAATTAGCGATTATTTATACAAATGTGATGGGTGGCGTAATTGAGCTGGGAAACCGCTCTTGCGAAAGCGTTTTCTCAAGGATACCGCTCCGTGTGTGTTCCCAGACCGTGTGAAAGCGATCCTTTCAAAAAATAAAAATTATAAACTTTTAATTTAATATTTCACAAAAATAAAGTTAATGTGACTCATGATTCAATTCTCGCCTTTGGGATGATTCAAAGGGAATTATTTCCTTCTTAACGGTATGAGAGGAGAGTGAGAATTCATCATCGTCATTCAACGGCTTGTCACCGACCGCAACTAGACCAACGCACGGCAATGGTCGTGTATCTGTCTGGAGCACTCGGACCATTTATCATTTTGCCATATTTCTCTCCAAGCGGCAGGCTTCGAGTCTACGACCTCCCGCCACTGTCATCGTCGTGCTCAGCATAAGGGAACCACCGTACAAAGGCACATCCCTGAAGCCCCCTGCTGAGCCTTCCTTCAATTAATATCGCCCCGTAGACGTTTCCTATCAAATAAGTATCAATTAATATCCCGCCATCCTGACGTTGACAACTACTATTAACGATCTTTCTACCAACATGATTATAATAGAAATAGCAAAAGACTGATGGTTATCAAAAAAAATCTAATATGAATGAAATACGATAAATAAATTTATGTCTAACATACGAGGTGTGTAAATTAAGTAATGAGAATGCAGCAGGTACGCTTTCAGTTTTTTCTAGTGCGTTCATAAAATTTCGAGCAACGTTGTGCTATCAAGTTTTGCTTTAGACTTGGGCACAGTGCAGCGGAAACTTTTGCAAAACTTCAGCTGATCTACAGAGACAGTGTTTTGTCAAGCGCCCAGGTTTTTCGGTGGTTTAAGGCATTTTGAGAAGGAAGAGAGTCGATTGAAGATGAACCACGAAGCGGAAGGCCTTCATCTTCAAGAACCGATGAAAATGTCGTCAGAATCTGTGATCTTGTGCATTTAGATCGTCGATTGATAGTCAGAATGATCGGGGAAGAGTTGAATTTGACTCACACCAGCGTTCATCAGATTTTGACCAATGAATTGGGGATGAGAGAATCTGCTCAAAAATGGTTCCAAAAAACCTTTAGCAAGACCGAAAGGACATCAGGAGGGAAAGGTGCCTTGACTTTTTGAATGAAAATGATTCCCATTTTCTGGAACGTGTCATTATTGGAGACGAGTCTTGGATGTTTGAGTACGACCCGAAAACCAAGCACCAGAGCATGGAGTGGCACACTTCAACCTCTCCAAGGCCCAAAAAAGCAAAAACTTTGGAAGAAGGATCATTCGTGTGAGACCAAACATCAAGGGTGTTGCATCACGATAACGCACCTTGTCACACAGCATTTTCAATAATCGAGTTTTTGGATAGTAAAAACATTTCTGTGGCTCTTCAGCCTCCTTATTCGCTTGACTTGAGTGACTTTTTCCTCATCCCGGGATTGAAAAATCACCTCAAAGGAATCAGCTGAAGGCTATTTCAGTATCGGAGTTCCAGCACTGCTATGAGGATTGAAGGAACCGTCTCCAGCGCTGTGTGGTTTCAGAAGAAAGTTACTTAATTTACACACCTCGTATAAGTAATTATAGGAATTAACATTTAGTAGAATTAAAAAATGATTTGTATAAACTTGCATCATCACTGGAGAATCATTACGATCATTAGATATAATCAAAATATATTCAAGCCTTATAGAAAAGTCTCTTTATATTCAAACAAATAAATGGTGAAGGTAGGTAATAAAGTCAGCAATTTTATTTATTGCTTATTGAAACTGACTGCATACATAACCGTTAATAATCAACGCTAATAAGCGCCTTCAACATTTTAACCTATTCATTACGGTTGACGTGGCCCCGAAGGCAGATGGTTCTACGACGCTGGCAACAACTCGCCATCTAGGACGGCGTATAAATCAAACGAGCCGTTTTCTCTAAATTACGATAATAATTCACCGGGATAGCATTAACTACAAACGTATTCAATTAAAAGAACACCTCTCACGATTGTAGGATTGCGACGGCGGCGACGAGAGAGAGGAAAAGTTGGTAGTTTACTGAGAGAGAACCATGGCAAGATTAATCGCCCGGCGTCTCTAATTTGTTGTCAGCTTCGCCTTTATAACCTTCGGGGCTTAATCTATAGGAGGCGGTACCCGAAGAGGTCGTAAATAGCGGGAAGAATTGAATGGATTTATTATTATACCGCGGTAGAGGCTCGGATAAATATGGCTTTATTTATACGCCCGGTCGCTGACGTTTGCATTTAAATATTTTTTCTTTTACCTTCTCTTATATACTCTTCTATACCTCTTACCTTGCGCACACTACAATACCCATTGTACTCTATTATTGTTTGCATTCCCATTTTTGAAGTCTCATATGAAGATGATTCCAAACAGAGATGTATTCAGGGACTGAAAATTTGATCATTAATAAACGCACAAATTTCCGGCATAACATTCAAAATATTCTACAAAGAGGGGCCAAGCTGTCAGGTCGAAAAGCGACGAACCGTGTTGAATAAAACATTAGTGCTGTTGTTGATCGAGTGACAGTTAACGCGTTCGACGACGACAGAAGAAACGGTTCAAGGTGTCAGAGCGAGACGAACGACAATTATCCTATGCGGACGGTCGTTTTTGATCCGCTCACACGCAAAAGGAAATATTAACGCGGCGAACGTTTGTCACGAAAACGCGTCGTCACCGGCAATTGAACGGCGGTAATTAGTTCTTTTGTTGGTCGAACCGACGCGGCACTGCGTATAATTTTATAATTCAATCATGGTACCACGTAGAACGTCCGTTGTTCATTCTTGCTGCTTTTAAACCGACGTATTCATTATTATATGATATTAGAATCTTATTTAAATTCAAAACTGTGTTTCTAAAATGTTTTATTTAATCCTCTAAATAATCATCTTTTACAAAAGAAATACTACACCTGGGGTACTAAAAACTTGACAACCTATAATAGCATCTATTGTTACCGAGATGAGTACATCCGAAAAGATGTCAAACGTTATCTGCTTCCTTTCCCCTTATGGCGGCGATCCACCGAAGCCGCACAGCTCACGATTTACGACAAACGCTCCGCACACAATGAAAGATTAAACCCGACGGAGAGACGGCCTCTAAAGAAGGGAGCGGCAATAATAACTCCATTGTTGTGGTAATGAACGAAATGTCTTCCTTTCTTTCCCCGCCTCGGACGGATTACCACGCTCTTAGTCGTCCTCTCCCAGGTAGCAGACTTGAGGCCATGGATGGAACACTGGAAGCCTGTATCTGGACGTAATCCCGGGATTGACATGACAAGAGGTGGCTACTACCACGCATCGTCAAGATGAAGAAGAGTGTTTTGATGTCCTCTTTCGTTCGGTACAATGCCTAATCTATTCGGAGTCTATCTGAAGGAGAAGAAACGAGTGTGGGCTACAGGATGGGATTAAGGATGAGAGATAATTCGTGAATAATATTTCAAAGTAAAAACGTAATTCGAAGACAAAAAGATACGCGCCGATAAAATATTGTGCATATCGCGCACGACCGATTCGGCGGTCATAAATCGCGGTATTCGATCTTGTAAATTATAACTGCAAATACCGCGACTGTAAATCACGGGAAAGCTGTAAATCATCGCTTCAATTGTTACCAATTTTTGGCGGGCGTTCGTTTTGCCGCCGCGTTTCGACAGCGACGCCCATAAATACGACACCATACATTACGGTTTTAATTAAAAAATTGCTACCAATTAATAAATCAATTATTTCGATTCCGTTTGTTCGCGTATACCAACCGGACAATTTACGGTTTTAATGAAATTTTGTTTGCATCAACCACCAATCCATAACAATTCTTAATCTAACTCTTCAAACAAATATTTCATTTCTATACTGCTAATCCAAGATATTAGCTTATTTATATTATTAAGACTATAGCTGATTACACCCCTTTGTCAAGGACAATTCTTGTATACTTTATCCATTAAATTGTGCGAAATTTGTTCTGTCCACTTTCTAGTATAATATTCAAGGTAATGGCGAACTAGGGAACCAGATATTAATAGCGATGTTCCATATTTGCCATTCACTCAGATACTCGGTTCATTTTTCCGCACCTTGGAAGCCACAGTCAATTTTGTTTGCCAAAAAGACTGTCTAAAAAGCAAATAAACCTGCTCCTCATCTGGAAAGAGAAAATTTCTCCGGTATGTGGACGTTTCAGTCAACAGGAAAATGACAGATAATGGAAGAATGACGTTTCATTTTTCTAGAAGTTCATATTGTGTTTTTAAATAATTTCTATTTGTTTCCATTTCCCGTTCTTTATTTTATCAATACATGCTATTGCACTTCTTATTATCTCCGTTCATTCCATCCAGAACTTGCATTGTGGCCATGAAAATGTTTGTATGTTTTAATTTGGATATGCTCAATCTGGTTGTGAATGACATGAGTTTGTAGTTGAGTAGGGGTATGAAGCTTGGATTTGGTTTTGTTGTGAATCAAATTGCTTTCTGGTAGTGGAACTTCCTCGAGTTTGGATGAGCTGGGCTTAGTTTACGTTGTTTGGGTTTAGTTTGGTTTTGATATGAATGTCCTTTGAGTGTGGATGGATTGGGTTCAGTGTAGTTAGGGATGAGTTCGATAAGGTTTGTGTGATATAAATTGGGGTTAGTTTAATTTTTTTGTGGTAAGATTAGGATTTATGGTTATTTGTTACAGACATTTTTTTTTTTTGAAAATCTGCCCTCTAAATATTACACAATTTATAGCTGCCCTACTAACAAAGCATGCACCAAGAGGCCATTATGTAAGTCTTCTTACTTTTCAGCTTTGTTTCAGATTGATCAAACCATGACAACCCGAAATCTTTTTTAAGATGTGCTATGGCGTACACGCAAGACTTTTCTTCTTCGTACAAATCTACCGTGTTCGGCAAATTTAGTAACCCGTAAGCTATCTTATTCTTGTGCATACTTTTTTTGTATATTTTGATTTTTAGGTTACCTAAAAGCAAGCATGAATCATTTTTGCACCACTCATACTAATTCAAGATAATTTTATGAATTCTAAATACATTTAAAAGATATCTTAATTATTGGTTCACGAGTAAGTTAAAAATGTTTCAGTGTTGGGTTGAGAGAACAATAATTACGGTGCCTTTTTGTAGAATGGCGAGAACGGTGGTGCTCCGTTTCGACGATAACTCACTATTAATTACGTCCGTTTATTAATGACCGCTATATGTTAATCTGACGGGAGGCCGTTTTTCTTGGCGCTTATCGTTCCGGAGACCCGGAGCCGCGCCGTACGGTAATCCGCAAACCTGAAAATTATACCGCACGATACTCCGAACGCTGCGGCAACTCAGAGTATCCGCGTTGTGTGCATATACGAAGGTGAAATCGGGTTTCGTTTGCTGCTGGAATTTTTGATTTTCGTGAGTCGATAAGAACAATTAGCATATAAGGTTACCACCGAGGACTGTTAACGGTCGTAATCGGTGGGTTCTGTTAAAAGAAAGGCAACATTTGCAGTTAACTTGAAATTCCATTGTATGCTATAGAAAATGTATGACTTTATTTTGTTAAAAATAGTAACATTCAGGAAAACTTATCGTTTGTATGCAGAATGCAAAACGTTGACGACCGCACAGGAAATTTTCATATGGCTTAATACGTATGTGTGTCACAAGTTTCGTCGTTGAGTACGTGTTCATGCGGCGGCTACCGCCACCAGAAACACACACAACAAAGGCGACGTGAGATAGTTCCACAGGAAGTGGCATGTGTAATTTCATTCATTCATAACTTGTTATGTCGACGGCGTCCACTCCGCGCTGTAGATAATCACGAGGATATAAAAAAAGTGTAATGTGCACGTGGTGAGAATTGTTAGAACCAGATGTTCACATTTTTCTATTTAATAATAAATAGACATCTCGAGAAAACATTTAACACACCATTTCAACATCACTTATTCCTTATAATGTTGCAAAAAATGTTGGAAACACTACTTAAAATGCTAAAAAGATTTTGTTGTCGTAAGATTCTGAAAAACCTTCAATATATCAAAACATGTCAAGTATTTTTGAAATTACTTGAGAGTTTGAAATTTATTTATGCACATTACAAAGATTAGCAAATAGGCATAACTTTGAAACTACACAACTTTATGTTCTTATCAACATGGAATTTTCAGTATGCATTTTAAAATAAGGTTAATCGATAAAGGTGAGAAAGAAGTGGAATAACAAAGACGAGTCGACAAAAAAATAAAATAAAAAATAAGTTAGCTGCCGCTCAATTAGGTTGGTAAAAATTCCAGTAAAGCGACGAGATAAATTAATAGTGTCTGTCGGTTAGAAAGATAACGCTGTCACTCCACGACCCTTTTCTACGATTAATTATGAGTTTCGAAATTGGGCGAAGGAAAACAATTAAATTTCGAGCTTGGATCATTTGTTTTACGAGAGTTAGTCGAGGCCGAGATGGCCGATAAGAATGCGTTCGCCATAAATCACTCCCAGAAGGCGGCGGGGAAAAAATGGACCTCGAGAAAATGTTAAACAATCTCCGGTCTCTTCTCTACCTGATGGATGACCGGCTACTGGTTTTCACATCATCAGAAAAGGGAACCGACAGAGAGAACGCGGGCCCCCAGAACTAATCTTCGCTATGCAGCTCGTAAAATAAATTTTCCGGACACAATATACCATAAAAACATAATATTGTGCTCTGGCTGGGAGCCTTTTGTTCGTTGGGTGAATTATTGCCGAAATGCCGACAGTATAATAATAGCCATCCGTCTCACGTCCGCTTTATTTCCCCTGTTACTACTGCTCCAAATAGCAACAAGCAGTACCACCACGGTGGTAAATCGTGGTTTGTATTTTATTACTTCAAAATGAAAAACACCTATATTGAAATAAATTTTTAGGCAGCAAGAATCGATTATGCAAGTAATCTTAAAGAAATGTCACAACAAGAATGTCGTCCTTACGTCCCTTAGGAATTGCCGTGTTGTAGTCGTCGTCGTCGTTGTCGTCGTCCAAGTAGCATTGTATTTAAAATTGATATTTCCCGTTAGCGTTTCGAGCAGATGCTTATCTGTTCTTGTCATTTCAATGTATTACCGCAGATTGAAAAGTGACTGACAAGCCGTACGCCGAAGGCCTGGAGTAAATCCTAATAAAGGAGCGCAGATAGAGCTGAGCGAACGAACGACCGCTCTCGCTGCTACCCGGACAGGAGAAAAAGAGGAGCCGCTGATGCCGCTGCTTGCTGCTGCAGTTGCTGTTGCTCCTGTCGGCATCCAGTCTCCCCGATGCTAACGATAGCTTATCGAGGAATTTAAAAATAATTACGGCGAACAACGAGCCGACCGAAGCACGTCAGTCCATCAATGCCGACTATAACGAGTCGGAGTGCTCGTCGGATGCGCCTCTGACGATCATCCCAGATACCAAGAGAAGGGCAACAGAATGCAACAGGAATATTAAATCATACCCTACTACGAGACGATGCACTCAAAAACACATCAATCCCTAAGCGCGGCCGCTTTTTGAGTATGGATAAGGCAAAAGCTCTCTCACCAATTACTAAATGTTCGCACAGCTTATCTACAACACCGAGGATTGAATCAATCCTTTTGAGAGCTGCTTCTCGTATTTTCCCCAGATGTTGGAATGTTGATGGCACTCATTTATAACTCTTTAATAACATTAGAAAGCTTAATTATATGAAAAAGAAATGGTTCAACTAATTTAATGGACGGTTATAACTGGAAAGAGAGTTCGATACAAGAAACAGATAGTAACTTATATACCTAGGAGGTATTAACAACATCATAAAAACTGTACAGAAATAAATTTGTTCTTGGAAGGTTAATGATGGTGTAACGACAATGATCAATAACACTATTACAGGTTATAGCTTATAATCTGAAGCGATTCCCGCACCTCAAACCTAACGGGTAGCCTACATTTCTTACTGGAGGAGCAATCAGCAAGATTGATTGCATCCACCTAACGACTTCATCGGACGACGACTCTTATTACACAGCTCGTGGAACGTAACTCACGTTATAATCACCTGCCTATTCTCTTATTAATCTTGAAAACATCTTCGTCGTCCTCCGGGGTAAAGAAGGCCATCTGTTTAACTTCATCGTTGCCATATTAACGACCATTTGATTACACCTTACCGACTTGAAAGAATCTTTTTTTAATTCCAACCCTGAGGCGCCTTCAGAAAGGAAGACGAAGAAACGGCCAAGCAGAAGGAAAAGGAGAAAGGTTGGTAGCAGGAGAAAAACGCCTGTACTTCCCGTTCCCAATTACGACGGTAGCGTTGGCATTAAAGATGGGTCTGCACATGTCGAGAAGGCGGAGTCAGAGGTCAGTGGGCCGGCCCGAGAGCGGTGACGTCGCGAGTCAAGATGGCGGGCACACGTCCCTGTCGCAGCAGGAATTGCAGTCACCGGTATCGGCGTGCGAGTGGCGGCAACAAGCAGACTGGAGAGAGGTCTGCAGAAAAGAGAGGCGGCGCCGCCGCGGGAGGGCCAAAGGGGGGACACCACCGCAGGAGGACGTAAATAACCCCTGCGAGATCTCATTTCGCGACCCGGCTTGATGCTGTTGTCGCTCGTAAAGCGGCCATAAATCCTGCGGGCTATGAACTCCCTTGGAGAAAGGAGCTCGCGATGAATGGGCCACCTCTTCCTCCAACAACCTTACCGAAACTTAACCCCCACATAAATCTATTTAATTGGTACCATAAATATAGATATTTAGATATTTATGCTTATTCATTCTGACTAATTAGAAGTTGATCCAAAACTTTCTCCTCAAAATCTACACACAATCGAATTGAATATCTTGTCTATCACGCTTGATGGAAAGTTATGTGTTATGTATGAAAGTTTTGTTTTCAATGTCTAAGAACATATCTTGACGAAGAAGAAGTGTTCTGATCGCGAGGATTCGTTCTGTCTCGTTCTGGTGCTCGTTAGAGTAGTGAGTAATGTGATCGCGATCGAGCCCGTTGTCGAAGTCGATAAAATGATTTGTTTAGGCGAGTGGGAACGTCGACGGTATCTGGACGTGGTCGGGGGGAGCTGACTGCTGAGGCATTAATCATACATCTGGCGCGCGGCGAAAGTTGAAAGAAGACATTACGGTAACGAATGGGGTCAAGTCGGGGCCGAAACACAACCAACGTTCCGACAACACGACGGCGCGGCGGCGCGTTGTTACAGTATCGCCGCGTACATCTCGAATTGGCCCCGCGCAGTTAACAGAGGGTGTGGAGCGGTGATAAATGGCCCCATAAATTACCGAAGGGGCCGCGGGCCGCGGGCCGATCCTGCCCCGCCCGGCACAACGCGGACGCCCTCGATCGCGCCTCACTCGAGTGGGCAAATATCTATCACGGTTATAATTTAAAAGATCGTTTATCGTGATATTTATTGCAATCATAAAGCGTCCGCTCCGGTGAAATATAGGGCCGACCAGTCGACTTCCATAACGGCCCCGCGAAAGGGGGTCGGACTAAATAACGCCCACGACGACGCCTGATGGTGTTTTCCAAAGGGGGGCCTTTCTTTCCCAAACACCTTGCACGAACCCATGAATTACGATACGATTTTTGCCAACATTTTTGCTACATTGTCGCGGAGTATAAAATTAGTACCTAATTTTTGATTATAACCATCATGAAAATATTATTAGCCATTTGTTTGTTGTCTACACCACTGTGGACAAGTTACACGTGCTAAAAAATGATTTATCAAAAGCTGCTGTGACTAAACTCGTAGGACATTTATCTTTGGAAATTTGCCAAAGTAGTCTAAATACTAATCATTTCCAACGTATGTAATAAAATCTGAACCACTATAAATTAAATAATAATTCTCCAAAAATATATGTTTGGCAAAAAGAGAAAGACGCAATGCATAAATGCAAAATAAAATTTAATACATTTAAAGTTCATAACATTTTACGATAATAATTTGCTAAACATACCTCAAAAATTGTACAAGTGCAATTTCCTATCTCACATCTCTGTGTCTTTGACCAAAGCTAATCTCAAAAATTGATTCTTTGAATTGTGATAAATGTTATATCGCTACAACTCTCCACTACTTTAAATCAATAGTGTCACAACATATTCCAGAAGATGAAGAATTCGTTATTCCATTTTCTGCTCACATTTTTCTTAAAAAGAGAAGACATTCTCAAAGTTTTATAGAGAAAAGTTACGATAAACCTGCATGTCTAAATAATTGTGTCTGCTGATTTTTAATGTTACGCTTAAAATTGCTTTCAAGTTGGGTTGGATTGAGATAGATTGACTTATATTGGAATTTGATTACTTTGTGGTTAAATTACTTCTTGAGTTGGGATTGATTTGGAGTTGGATTTGCTTGTTTTAGAGATGTATTACGTTATAGTTGAGTTGCTTTGTGGTTGAATGGATTTGAGGTTGACTTGATTTGTTCAGGTATTAGCTTGCTTTGGTGATGAATAATGTTGTGGCTGAACAAACACGAGCTTAGATTTCTCTTTATCTTCAACAATGTAACACTCCGATTTGTTCTTGCTGCCAAAGCAAGGGTAGGCTTATTTTGGAAATGAATTATTTTGTAGTTTAGTTGTTTTGTTTTGTGGTTAAGTAGCTTTGAGGTTGAGTTGATTTGGGGATTGTTTAAGAGATTATAACCTTATTTCATGGCCAGGAACTTTTATATATATTTTCTATAAAAACCTTTCCCAACACTTATTTCCGACAAAATGTTGTAGCTGAGCCCTTAATTTCGGCAGCAACCCCATCATACCCGACTTTAAGTTTTTCTAATCCAATATCTTTACTTTAAAATCTGAATTTCAGACCTGAGTTATGTGACTTATATCGGATGAGATAACACATATTTGATGGATATGTCAATCAATTTTAGCAAATTTCCACGCAAGTTCAGGAACATTAACAAAGATGTCATCAATAATATTAATACTTAAAGCATTTACAAGATGATAATATATTCCATATCTAAATGCTGTTAATTTGGTGGTATTAGTAGATTCATAACATGGACAAATCAGCTAATTATTCAAATGTAAACATGTTGGGTGATGTTCCAGCAGCGCGCTAAGATGATTTAATACCCACCAGAAACCCACGCCGTTGTTTCAGCGGAGTCAGAAACAATCATCGGAATTAGCATCCGGAATAACGAATGCCGTTAATAATAAGCGTCACCTTTCACATTCGGGGCTTTGCTGATTGATCACTGAATACCGCGCCGGGTGTCACGTGATCGATCACCACGGTGCCGCCGGGTGCGTCTACGCCCCCGTGCTGCGGACTCAGCACGCACCGTTGACCTCGTCGACGTCGACGTTGATAAATTAGTAACCGTAAAGCCACCACCGCCTCCGGGCGGCTCCGGTCGGTCAATCCGCTTTCACCCAAGAACTAAATTGGTTTATGCTGACGTCTGCCCGTCCGTTTTAGTTTTGAAAGCACGATAATTAACACTTCTAAAGAGTGGACTTAAAATTGAAGTAGAAGTAATTGACGAAAATTTTGATTTGATCTAAAATTTTCTTTGTGATTTAACGTAACAATAATAAATGGGACCGTTGAAATTGATAAGGCGTTAACGTGAAAAGCCTGCTTCATCTCTGTCAGTTTGTACATCAACAAACGCTCGGCATATAAGAGGATCGACGATTAGGGCTGGAGCGAGACTGCGACAGATTGGATTATTTTCGTGCTCTCCCGCGACTCCGGTAAAATAACGCAGAATGGGGCCGACGCTGACAGACGCGTACACTAAATTTATACGACTTAACAGATGGATACCAAGCCCGAGCCCAGGTTTTTACGTCGCGTTTAGATTTAGATCCTCACCGTGGCAGTTTCAGCGCGGAATCGAACGCGAACTGCCATCGCAACCCGAAAGGAATATGATTGATGTGCCACTATTCATCATCGTTACTGCCTCCCTCTTTGACTTCACCCCTCTCTTATAACTTTTCCGGACCGATAATTACCAAGACCTTTTTAGATTAATGACGTAGGAAGAGAAAATCTGATTATGTACAGATCGTCAATCAAAAATCATTTCATCGTAATTTTTAATGGAAAAATACTATTAATATTGGTGTCGTTGTCGCCATTTTTCTAGTAGAATTGTCAAAAGCACTCAAGTCCTGGGTTAAAGTTACGACCCGTTGGGATTTGAGCGAGAACATCTTGACGCTTTAGTAAAAGCGGAACCCTTTACGTCCCTCTCTGTCGAGATTCCCTGAGGCCAGATAATTTCCGCTCCATAACTGTCCCGGTACAGTTTTCCGGGGCGTGATTAATGCATTGGATTCCATTAGGCCAAAACCGGGATGCGAGAGCGCCCGCGGGAACCACACCGCTGAGTGAGTCACGATCCACGAACATCGCGTAAACATTATTTTATTGACGACGACGACCGCAACATCCAACCCCGGATTTTGCTTTTGCAGTGTATTTTTAATTGTAAATATAAACATTGGGTGATGTGATTTGCATTAAAGCAGCTGAGAAAATACCGGATTGTTTCATTTGCCCTTAGGGATTATAAATTTTGCTCAACAGACCATGAAGCTATCTTTTATAATTTTATAGATATAAATATATTCTTCACCCCCGGGGGATTAATCTCCAAACAAATTTCAATTTTCAAATACCCATTGTTATTTATTCCCTTGAAATGGTAAATTATATGGATGTTAACTCAATTAGTGTTGACGAGACGAAGTGCGACGTTATGTCGCCGGTTCGATTACGTAATTGGAAAGTTAGCGGGTTCGATGATAAACTAATTACGAATGCGCGCGCGTGTAATATATAGAGAGCAACCCATTAAAGTTGTTATCGGGGTTTAATCGCTAATACGGGCTGTCATGTACGACATTAGTGTCGACGGTGATTCGCCCCCTGTCAGCAGCTGTCAAGGACGCCGACAAACCGGGAGGCTTCCCTACACTCGTCGCGACGCTAAATTATTCAAAACGTCGACGTTCTTTCGACGAAGGATTTTAATTCATCCCGAACCGCGTTCCCGTTTTCCAATTAGACGTAATTTATATTATCGGGTGTTCTAGCTGTACTGTCCGCTAATAATCGTAATTACTGGCTAGGCAAAATTGCCACTTTACAAGTTATTAGCCGCGTACATCCATTATAATTGTTAACCGTGATAATTTACATGAATAACGCGAACGTACGGCGGCCACTCGGAAAATATCGCGCGGTCCGATTTATGGTTACGTATTCGCTTCGCACCATTGCGCCTACGGTGTATATAATGCGCGAGAGTGGCTGCTGTAATTAATGCCGGTCTGGCAATGGTTTCCTATTATATGACCGCTACTGATTAACTATCTACAATATTTATAACATACCTAATTAATACGCTCTATTTACACATATTGTATTGGATCTAATCGACATTAGTAGAAATTGCAAAACGTAATTGATACGAATTTATATACATTTATTATATCAATTAATTAAACTTCAACTAATAAGTTATTTATTTTATTAAAAAGATATCAAAATTAAACGATAATTGCTTATTTCAGTTTCAGCTTACAACGTCGAAATACCCAAATCATCAAATTGATGATTATCGTTAATAAAGTCGATCATAACTCGAAAACTAAAGGCAGTTTGTAATGATCCAAAATGGCATAATTCATAACTAGATTCCACTTAATTATAATCATATTCTAGTCATAAAGCAGAAATCCCCATAATATGAAGATTTAATATCTTTGGTATTAAAATCCAGCATAAGTTAAAATCTAAGGGCCCTGAAGAAAAATATATTGGAAGTAAATTGTTTATAATAAACCATAAATACATCATCCATAACCATATTCTGCTTAGTTATGATCATTTTCTAGCAAATAATTCAAGCAAAACATTCAAGCAAAAATCTCCGAAAAACATGATTTAATGTTTCCAATATTAAAATCCATCATAAGTTAAAATCTAAGGGTGCTGGAGAAATATATGTGGGAAATAAATTGTATATAATGAACCATAAAGACATAATCCATAATCAAATTATGCTTAGTTATAATGATATTCAAGTCATCAAAATGTAAGTAATATTTATAATTAAAATCCTTCATAAGTCATTTGACGTGAAACTTATTTGTGTTTCTATTTATGACTTAAAAGTAGAATTTGAAAAGTTGAAAATGCAGTTCTAATTGTTGGTCAATTATACGTCACGGTGAAGGATACCGAAGAAACCGAATGAATTAAAATG